AATCAGACGAAAGAACATTGAACCAATCCATTCCTTACCTTGTAAACCCACATGTTTGATATGCACTAGAACGATGTATGATATGACGAATGTAGGATATGAAAGGCTATGATGAAAATGAGGGTGTGACAACGTACATTGAGAGTCAGAACATCAATTTATACACTAAGGAATTGTTCAAACATCTACTATTGCACTGTTGTAGTTTCATATTATCATCAATTTCTACCTAGTTTCTAACCCACAATAAATGATTACTATCTTATCTATCTTGCCTATGCTACCTAGTTTCCAATCTTTCGAGAATATAACAATGTGTGATGATTACATAATTACTATCTTGTCCAGTCATAATAAAAACTGTTGGAGATGATGAACAATAAAAAACAAAATAAAGATCATTGATTAATCATGAACAAATAAATCATGTGAACCAAAATTTGAAAATAACTTCCATAAATTACAAATAAAAACAAAATTACATTTTGATAAGCATATGTAAAAATAAGTAATATTATTCATATTTCCTATAGCAAGGGTTTATATTTTAATCAGTAAAAATATTTTTTATTTTGTTTTAGTCCTTACAGTTATAACTCCCTGCAAAATTTATTCATATTACTGGGGAGAAAAACATAATCCCTTTATGTTCATTCTTTCTCATCCATGTTCTATTCTTTATTTTTCTTTTTGTTCATTCGTTCCTATCCATTTTTTATTCTCCCATATTCTATAAGCAACAACTCATTTAAGTGATGATTAACTGAAGGTACTGATGTTCACTGCAAAACCAACAAAAATAAGAAGTTATTTCAAGAAGAAAATATAACCATTATACATGCCTAAAGAGCAGCATTATGCTTTGACTGTGACATACACCCTCCATAACAATATCACTAACACATCTTAGCATCTGTATTCAGAGATCCAGTCAACCACCACTATGAATGTCAATATTATGGTTTTATCTTGTCAATTATTCAATGAGGTCTTGAGTGATTAAACCAAAGCAATTAAGTAAGCACAACTAATTCCATAAACACAGAAAAATAAAACATCTCCAGTAGTTAGAAGTCAAAAGAGAGGAAAAAAGATATCAGCATCAAAATGTTCAAGCTTCAAATAATTTCCACAAATAAACATTTAACCATCCTGGTTGCACTTTGAAGGCTAACAATCTTAACCATGACTATCTAACTTTAACCATGTCATTATTACTTCATATATCAATATATACCTACTTGTATTCTCATTAAACAAAGGTAATTTCTAAAAAAATGGTAAATATGTAATTACACTAAAAAGGCATATTAGAATACAAGAAACATATAATCCAAAAGGTAACAAAACCACGACACATGAAACTGCCCATTTCATTTTTGATGCCCCAGATTATATTACAGAAAGATGGTTTCCTTCATGACAAAATGAGGACTTGGGTTTGCTGATAACAAACATCCCATGTTTATACCCCAAAAAGATTTTTGTATAATCAGATTTTCAATTTATGAGGACTCAGTAAAATGCAGCCTGACTCTACTATTATAACATGCCAATGTCTAGACTATGATTATCAACTCTTACTTAGATGCTCACTGGAAAAAGATAACTTCTGAAAATGAGATGTATTTTGCCGCAAATCACATCATAATTCTATTAGAAAATAAATACCTGAAAGAGTTTATCACTAATTTTGACACCGCCGACGAACACCGACAGCAGTTCTCAAGCAGATGGGGTGGCGTCACTAAAATTCACTTACCGCCATTAGATCTTGTAGTTAGTGTACAGAGAAAAGCTGGACAAAGAAAAAAATTAAAGATGCATATGTGGATGGGTTACCAAATGAAAAAGGAGGAGAAACGATGAAAAATGAAGAACAGACGAAAAAATCATAGTTAGTTACTATAGTTTTGAAAGTAAACATCACAACACAATTTAATTAACCACAAAAGATAGATAGAAGCCCTAACACAATTTCATTAACACAAAAGTTAAAGACAAGAAATACCAGTATCACGACACTTTTGAACCGCATACTCTACATCAGAATTAATTTTTTCATTTTCGTTGACGCACCATCAAACAAAGAGCTTTGGCTCTCCTCATCTTCTCAGCTTCGATTTCAACACTTAGACTCTTGTTTGTGGTGAATTCTTCGACACTACCCTTTAACTGAAATCAGAAAACAATTAAACCCATTCGTTCATTCGATGCGCTGATCAATTCAGCATTTGAATTGAAGATACAAAATCAACAAATGATGTTTAAAAGTAATATATTTTTCAACAGAATTTTTCAACTACATCAGAATCTAAGATGAGTAGGGTTTACCGCGATAATGCAAGTGCAACTATCCCTATTTTGCACCTTGCCCCGCCTTTTTACCGCATTAATTCCTAAAAAAATAGGATTCTTGTTAAAACTTTCATGAACAATTGTATGTTTTACAATGCACAGTGAGGGAATTAATTTGTCAACTATTACCTGGCAACAAAATACATAACCACAACACAAAAATTTGATTCGGATTAATTGTAACACACCTGTTAATGACAACATCAACAATGGCCTGAATTAGGTTCTGGTCAGTGAGAAAATGGATAATCTTCATATCATGCTTGATGACACCAACAACCTTGAGATTCTTCCCATTGTTCCTTGCATGCATCATGAGTGAGTTTGTCAGCCTCACAACAACAGGACACTGAAATTTCCTAAACCTCTTCATAAAGTATCTCCCAACAGTGCGAGAAATTTTGGTTGCCACAACTCCAACATAGGCACTCAACGAAACATTAGTGAGCTAAAATAACAAAAATAACAAAATTACACCCAACAAACAAAAATCATAAAATTTTAAACTTCAGCAAAGTATATATTACAAATTACAACAAAAAAATTGTGATGGATCTAAAATAAACTTAGACGTCGGCAAAGCTCCATCGGTTGAAGAGTTTGACATCGATATGTGATGGATCTGAAATAACAGCAATATGTTCTTGAACAACTTCATCCATGACTGCAAAGAGAATCAAACATTGTTAGTTAACAAAATCGAAAACATAATAGATAGAGAAATGGAACGAATATGAAGGAAACAACGAACTTGCGATGAAAGGATTCATGCTTGGATAATGAAGCACGATGGTAGAGGAACAGAGAGAATGAGTATCTACATGTGATTTTAAGGGTTTAAACAATGATAGTAATAATAAACCATTAGAACTCATGCGTCTCTCCATATTCCAATCCGGATTTCAAAAGTTTTTTCAGCTTCCCAATGTACATACATTCATCATAACATATAACCCTTATAATAATATACATAATAAAATAAATCAAAATTCAACCCAAAATTATAATATGATGTTGGAGAGCCATGCGTTTATATCAATGCATACTTAATGTATGATTTCAACTTTTAAAGTGCCTCTTCACTCATGGGCGGTTTTAAGGCCCGGCCAGGCTGGGCATGTGCCCGGGCTCGGCTCCAAAATTTTGCCTTCTTTTATAAAAGAATATGAAAATTGTGGCGGTTAATAAGTGCTGTTGTGGCGGTTAAAACCGCCACAATTAACGAAAATGCAGAAAAATAGTACTTTTAAATAAAATTTCTCATGTCATAATATATATTAAATAAAAAGGTGGTTTTTTGTCGTTGATAATGGCAGTTTTAACCGCCGTAATTTAAACATTTTTCACAAATAAAACATATTTTTTTTTCTTCCTTTTTTATGCAATTAAGCATACATTATATTAATATTTTTTATATGATAATATTTAAATTCAACTACATTACAAAAAGTGCAAAATTAAAATAAAGTTGCTATTTATGACCAAATTAACCAAAAAAATAAATAAATACTTGAAGAAAATAAAATTTAACATAAAAGTAGCAGCTACTAAAATTATAAAAAAAAACATGTATAGTGTTGTAAAAAAGAAGAAGAAAATAATAATTTTATTCTCAAATAATATAAAAAATATATTAGGTTCAATTCTTCAATTTATGTTCACTCTAAATTATATGGTTCAATTGATGTTAACTAGGAATTTGTATTTTAAATTTAGTTTGTAGTTACAGTAGTTAGTAAATAAAATTATGTTGTTAACTTGTTGCTAATTTCAAGAATTATTATGAATCACATGAAATGATATTCCATGTTAGTATCAGCCTCAAATTGGATATGACTATGTTAGTTTTAAAATTCTTCCGAAATCAATTAAATTAAAAATCTTTTACTTTGATTAATAACTATTTATATATACAATATGAATTTATTGTCTTTAAATTTTTGCCCAGACTTCAAAAACTTTCTGACTCCGCCACTGTCTTCACTACCCAATGTAGATCGTGAAAGTTACATAGAGTATGGCTTTACATCTACCTTTTTTCAAAAGTTTAGATTTTTAGCGTGTAAAATTTCCTAATAATGACATATCAACAACATTAATTGTCAAATCTATAATATTGCAGCAATAATATATTTAGTCCTTAATACCCTTTTGATTAAATGTAATTAAGAATGTAATCAAAAAGGTATAATTAATTTTTCATTTTTAATAATTATTGTTTTTAATAGTTAAATATTAGATTTAACAAAGATAAATGAGTATTATGAAAATACACGGAGTGAGGTGTCAGATATAAGTTGGGGTGTGAAAAGAATTTGTCCTAACTTTCACAAATGCAATGGGACCAACAAATCAAAAACCCACGTCCAATGGTTGAACACGTATCACTAGATAGATATACTGAATAAGCAGTAACACCAAAAAACCAACCAATAAACACGATTTTTGTTCATTTTCCTCTTGCAGCACTTACAACACATGATTCAAGTTCTTGAATTTTCACAGTTAGTTATATCTCTGAAATTCTTCATCCCTTCATTTTCAAGCTTCAATTTTTTTCTTTTTTTTTTTTTAATTGTGTAATTCAGTTTATAGAACAATAGAAGATTTTATGGATATATAGGTTTGATTTTGGAATAGGAATGAATTGTTTTTCGCTTCCTTGTTGTACTGGGTCATTTTTGACGCCAAGTAGGTTACAAATTAGGTATTTTAGGGTTTATAGAGGTTTACGCACCAGTTCATTTGTTTTACCTTCAATGAAGTTTAATCAATGTTATAATTTTCAACATGAATTTGTATGGAACAAGAAATTAGAGTGTTTTGGTAGAAAAAATAGAATTCCGGTGTCGAGATTTCGCCATTGTTGTTGCAAGTCTCAACAGAATGATGTTCATAATAAAATTGAGCCACTTGTTAGTAGAAGTAGGGGTGATAGGAAGAGTGGTTATAGTAAAGAGGAAAGTAAGAGGTTGAAGAAGAGATTTTCGTTGAGATTGCGGCCGAGGTTACGGTTATTGGTTATGAGAATGAGAAGGGCTTCTGTTGAATCTGTTTTGAATGAGGTTGGAATGTTTGTTAGGAAGAATGTTAAACCAGTGGCGTTTTATACCTCGTTTTCGATTGTTTTCACACTTTGTTTCCTGTTTTTGAATTTTACTTCAATTCCTCCGGCTAAAATTGTTCCATATTCGGACTTGATTGCAAGTCTTCAGAATGGAAGAGTTGAGAAAGTTTTAGTTGAAGAGGGGTCTCGACGTATATATTACAATATGATGTCCGACGTTGAGGTTGTTGAAGATGATAAGGTTGCTGGTGAAGAATCACAACAAGCAGTAGATGTTACAATGGATAAGGATATAAACGAGGTTGTGAGCGAGGATGCTTCGAGTTCTAGTCAGATTTCAAGGTTGAATAAATTGAAGAAGTTCTCGAAGAGACAGGGTTCCATTCCCGAGTGGCAGTATTCCACGAGAAAAATCGATCACGATGAAAAGTTTCTTATGAGTTTGATGAGAGAAAAGAGGGTTACATTTAGCTCTGCGCCTCAATCTGTGTTAATGTCAATGAGGAGTACTCTGATAACTGTGATTACACTGTGGATACCGTTAATTCCATTGATGTGGATTCTGTATCGTCAACTTTCTGCTGCTAATAGTCCAGCGAAGAAGCGGAAGCCGAATAGTCAGACAGTTGGATTCGAAGATGTCCAAGGTGTTGATTCTGCAAAAGTAGAACTCATGGAGGTAATCTTCTCATAAGTAATATTTATGATAAATGATTATGTAACATATACAAGTGATATTTGCTGTTTTGCTAATGATGTTTATCTCATTAGGAATTTCTAGAAATAGGAAGTTGAGAATGAGATTATCGTCAGTTATAGATTTTAGCTTATGACATGGTAGCATAACATAAACTTAAGATTTTTGAGATGTGACAGTGGTATACTTACATAGTAAGACTATATTTTTGTTTTCTTATAATCAAATTTAGAACTCTTTATCTCAGAACAATAATTAAGTTTAAATCCATTTGACGAATTTTTTTTTAATAATGTGAAACAACATTTATTGTTTTTCTGCCAAAAGAAAATGAAAATATATCATATACTCCTGGGACTCAGACTCAGCTATAACAGATCTTGATATCACAAAATGTTAAGAGTTATGTTGTTATTGATCTTTTTTGATTTTATAGTTTACAATTTTACATCTTCTAGGATTAGCTCATACCCTTGCTTTTGTGGTACAGGGGGTAGTACTAGTGTACTAGTGTTTACAGTACACAACTTATGTTTGTGTATCAATACACAATGCCTGGAACTGCCACCACGGCACTGTATCGGAACTGCCACCACGACACTGTATCGGAACTGCCACTGCCACCGCAAACACTATTCTTAGGATGTATTGGTCTATGTGTTCACCGTGTTGTGTTTTGCGCCAATTCTGTAATACCATGCTTCAACACTCTTCTGTTATTTCAGATAACCTCTCCCCCGTTTTTATGAAATTCAACCCGATTGTCATGCCCCGGCCAATCGACTTTCCCGGCAACACAGTCAAGTGGCCCACCTTGAGGCTGACTGCTCGGAGTGTTTTGCCCATTTGTCCTGCTACCACAACTTTGATTTTCGACTATTTGTGGACTGGTACACAAAACTTAAGTTGTGTACCATAAACACCACCTATATAGGGGTATTCACAAATCAATGTAATCTAATATAAATCAATGTAATCTAATGAAAGTGGAAAATTGTAAAATAGGCAACCGAGCAAACAGAAATCAAGAAATCAAACAAACTGAAGAAAACTTTTTTTTTTTAACTGTTCGGATTTTGGATTTGATTTCCAAAAACTATGATATTACTCTGTTCCTGGTAAGAACAATAATTGATAACCTTCCTGGTTTTTGCCGGGAAAGGTCACACTTTTTCTGTATCTCTATGTAAATTGTGAATGCCTTTATGTTTGATAATGCTCTCCTATTTATAGTAGCTTCCCCACGACCGGTAGTCATGAATCATTAAATGTCTTAATGACCCTTGCAACGTAATATGAAGGTAGTTTAGGGAATGTTTTCTTATCTAGGATTCGCTGTGGGTGATCATTTAATATAATTTATTGTGGACCAGTCGATGGTTAATACTTGTAACGCTAATCCCGTAAATTTTGCCATGATTGTTAGTCAGTGGCGGCCTTGTTCTCTCTCTGGGCACTTATAAGCCAAGACGGCCTTGTTCCCACTCTGGGCACTTATACGCCAAGACCATATCCTATCTGGTATACAATCACGGCTGAAGCCGCAAACATCTGCTATCCCGACCATATTTCATCCTAGGTAGGGTCTTAACCCGAGCTCCTCGGATAGTGTCTCTTCTCGACAAGTCCTCGACTTGATCTTCTAGACAGGTCTCGACCTGCCTTTTAAAAAAAGGGTCTTGTCAGGGGGACTCTGACCCATCCCGACTTCACCAAATCTGAGATGTTCATAGTCCCGGAGCGTGAGACCCTTATGGGTGGGACATATGCCGCCTGTCTTGCTATACAGATGGCCTGGAATGCTAGTGTCAGGAAGGACTCTTTAGAAAAGCTGATTGAAGAAGTTAATGATTACTTTTGGTGGTTGGAAAACTCGCGAGGCGAGAAACTCAATTTTTTATCAAAATGTCTAACCCCATTCAAAATCCAACATATCCTCCTAAATCTCTAACCCCATAACCCCATTCAGCTTAAAAATGTTCACAGAAAAAATACAAAAGCTTAAAATTCAGTAACTCCATATGCATTATCATCACCATCATTTGCATTATCATCATCTCATTAACAAGATTATAGGAACCCATCATCATTATCATGTGCAGCGTCCAAATTAAGTGGAGCGCCGAGATTGACATCGTTAATTTTAACGGGTACTTGATTGAACGTGACCTTCAGCTTAGTTAACTCGGGGGTGGAATAAGGATGCCCGGTCCTTCACTTCAGATGGCCAAATCTAATATTTCGCTATTGAAAAAACCGTCAAAAAGTCTATTCATATTGACCACTTCATAGAAAATTATATGAATTTTCAAGGTTACTAGGAATGGAAGTTCAAATGATTAGAGATTTATTATCATATGTTGGATTCTGGATGGGGTCAGAGATTTTGATTAAGAGTTGAGTTTCTCACAATTGTGAGCTTCCCACAATACTACTTAGCAAGACTCTTGGATTCACTCTCTATTGAGCAGTATTAATTTTCAAGTTATTATATTTTGAGGTCAGCCACCTCCAAGAGTAATCCTTAACTTCTTCAATCAGCTTTTCTAAGTTTAAATGTATATATCACAGATTTGGTGAATTCGGGATGGGTTAGAGTCCCTTCTGAGTCAGTGTCCCCGTGATTAGACCCTTTTCTAAAATGTCTATGACTTATCAAGAAGAGACCCTATTCAAGGAGCTCGAGTGAGACCTTACCTAGGCTGAAATATAGTCGGGTTAGCGACTTAAGGTGTGATTGTATTCAGATAGGATATGGTCTCAGCTTATAAACATATATATTAACGATGGACTGGTCCATGCTCATCAACAACAATAAATTGCCTTTTTATGTTTCAAGGGTTATTAGTACATTTGATGACTCATGACTACCTGGTCGTAGGGAAAGCTACTAAAAATAGAAGAACATTAACCATTATTTATAAATAGGAGAGCATTAACAATCATCTATAAATAGGAGAGCATTAGGCATTCACAATTTACATATCAAAGAAATATAGAAAAAGTGCGACGAGGTTATCAATTATTGTTCTTAACAGGAACACACTCATACTTATTACATATTTACCTTACGTATTTATAAAATTAAGATATAAATGAGAATATATTTGAATGAACGATGTTATCAAGTATCTGCCATGGCAGTTTTTGGGCTTGCAACAATGTTAAATATTGGCCGATATTGCAGGTATTTTCACTATAATGGCAATGTAAAGCAGCTGGTATGGCGGGATTTTAGCTCTCTGCCACATACTGCCATTGACAACTTTATTGAAGATTGAGTTTTTAGTAGACAATTAAACATTTGGGTAAAAGTATATTTACATGAATAAAGATAACTCATAACACTAATGGATGAGATATTTGTTACAGATGAATAGAAACAATGTAACTTACATCACATTCTGTCAGTCAACCATCCCAGTCATAAAAGTATGAAGGACTAAATTGTAAATTTGGAAAATGAATTTCCTGTCAAACTAGAGTGAGTTAAAAAAATTGACCTCATACCTTTATCTTTTGATTCTTTCTAAGTTTAGTAAAACCTTTTTTGCCACTAGTTAATCAACTTTATTGTTCTCCTTACTCCTTAACTGACACTGTTCCTTATTTGTAGGTAGTCTCATGTCTGCAAGGCGATATAAATTACCTAAAGGTAGGTGCAAAGCTACCTAGAGGAGTGTTGCTTGTCGGTCCTCCAGGTACTGGGAAGACATTACTTGCACGTGCAGTAGCGGGGGAAGCAGGTGTACCCTTTTTCACAGTATCTGCCAGCGAGTTTGTAGAAATGTTTGTTGGAAGAGGGGCTGCTAGAATCAGAGACCTTTTTAGCACAGCAAGGAAATTCGCACCGTCGATCATATTCATCGATGAACTTGATGCAGTCGGAGGCAAGCGTGGAAGAAGCTTCAACGATGAACGTGACCAAACACTAAACCAGGCAAGTTTACTCATCATTTTGTATTTCTTATGTTTGGATAAACGACTTATAGCTTGCATAAGCGCTTATCTTATATAATTTTTGTTTGCTCTAAGCTGACAAATGATTTTTTCCGTCTGTAGTTGCTGACAGAAATGGATGGATTTGAATCAGAGATGAGAGTGGTTGTCATTGCAGCAACTAACCGACCGGAAGCCTTGGATCCGGCCCTATGTCGCCCCGGTCGTTTCTCAAGGAAAGTATTTGTAGGGGAACCTGATGAAGAAGGAAGGAGAAAGATATTAGCTGTGCATCTAAAAGGAGTTCCTTTAGACGAGGATGCTAACATCATATGCCAGTTGATTGCTACTCTTACTGCTGGTCTTGTAGGTGCTGATCTTGCAAACATTGTCAACGAATCGGCTTTGCTTGCTGCTCGAAGAGGTATACAAACAACTTAATACTTTTATTGCATTCATCAATGATAATTCCTTATTAGATTTATTTGTAAACATGTCATAAGCTATTTTTATATGCTCTCTTGAGTAGTTATCTAAAACTCTCTTTGGATTAATTTATTTGAGCTTATCAATTTGCATAAACAGTTAAAACTATTTGGGAGACTTTATCCAAACAACTTATGATATGTTTATTAGCTTTCTTCAACTTATTCTCATAAGCTCTTTAAAATAGTCTATGAAAACAACTTATAGCTTATTACGAATTTACTTTGACTTTATTTTATCTTTTGTTATAAAAATATCTTACAATAAGAAGTTATATGAAAAATGAAAAATGAAAAATGCTATAAGTGCTTAATTAAGCTCTTTATGTGAAATGATAAACATAAATAACCTCTTGAGTCATTCTCAGTTGCACAACAATATGTTATATGTATCAACACTTGTGCTGTGCAGGTAGTGAAACTGTGGCAAGAGAAGATATAATGGAAGCAATAGAAAGAGCAAAGTTTGGAATCAATGATAAGCAACTAAGGGCTAGTAAAATAAGCAAGGAGCTAGGTAAGTTATTCCCTTGGATGCCATCATTGATGGGAAGAAGTGATAGGAAGCAAGATGACATACAAGGTCCACTAGGTTATCAATCATTGAGTTCATGAATGGCTTTGTGCCTGTTAAATTTACTTGTACAATTTTTCCCCTTTCGTTGTTCACACTTTTTTCAATGCATGCAAAAAGTTTTGTTCACATCTTATTTAATGTTCTCAAGAAAACAATATCCACAGAAAATGAGAAGTCATTGTATTTATTTACAGGATAAATAGTACTTAAGTCTATAAGACTCATGAATTTTTCATTGTCTTTATTTTATAAGATCCTTATCAACTTTCAAAATACATTAATTATTTTTTCTCAAACATATCCCTAATTATATTACATCATCTTTTTAACAATATGTGATAAATGCTCTTGTATTGACATTAATTATTTCTCTCTTATAAGAATACCCTTGTAAAATTATACAAATAGTCAATAAATTTAATACTCAAACCAATTTTAGTACTGTAATTTACTCAAGAGAGAGTCATGTATTCTTTACTTAAGGGAGTCATGTATTCAAGGACAGAGGTAGTATGTTTTAGAGAAATGATATTCTTATAATAATTTATACACTACACTTTATTTTACTGTTTATTAATATGGTGAACATTAAAATATTATAATAATAAGTAATTTTTTTTAAAATATAAAAATTAATTACTTTTTTTATATCTGGATATTTGTTAACCAATTTTATAATTTTATTAACCAAATTTTTACATTGCATTAACCAACTTTGTTTTACTACTAAAATTTATTTTTATATTTAAACATTTATTAATCAAATTCATAACTTAATTAACCAACTTTTTACGTTATATTAACCAATTTTGTTTTATTAGTAAAAATTATTGTTAATATTTGGACCTTTGTTAACTAACTTCATTACTATATTAACTAACTTTTTACATTTCATTAACCAATTTTGATTTATTATTAAAAGTTACTGTTTACGGACACTGTTCACACTACTGTTCATATACGATTTTACTTTTCACGGCACTGTTCACCGTATTTGTGAACAGTGCATACGGTGTAGGGGTAAAAAAGGTGTAAAGATAACATTGTTGTATGCTTTATTAGGTACTTATATAGAGTAATGTATTCAAGGACGGAGGTAGTAAGATTTCTTGGGTACTTATATTAGGGTACTTGTTAGTATTTTCTTTAATACTATTTAACTATTTGTTAAGGAATTGGTCTTCCCATCCTTAGTGGTGAAGACTCACCCTTAGAAAATCCAAAATGCCTTTGAAATAACATGAAAGTTAATTTTCGAACGCCCTCCAAAACACACGAAAACACTTTGTAAGTGAGACATCTTTACTTTGTCAAAAAATAGTATGGAATTTAACTTTCGCGCTGCTAGAAAATGAGTAAGTAGGTTAAAATTTTGACAAACCCTAGGTCACTTTTAGTGTGTTTAATTTTGAGCTATCAGTGGATAATACATAAGTTAAATTTTAGAATTATCAAGCGGGAAAAGTGAATAAAACACCACCTTGTATCTATTCTTCATTTCATTATCATACCACCATACCTCACCATACTTCACCATATTCTCAAAACCCTACAAAAATTTTCTTTCATTCTCAATCAAAAATTGTACTTCAAAACCACATTGTTATGTTTATTGATATCAAAAGGAGCAAAATAAGTTATAATTTAAGGTAATGTAAATGTATTTTCTTCCTCATTGTATGCAAGAATTTGGTTTAGCTTAATTCAAATGAACGTTGCATTTCAAAGTTAACTTATGTATTATGTTCCATGTAGTTAACTTAAGTATTATGTTCCATGTAGTTCCAAAAGTTTAATTCTAGACTGTGGTTTTGTTGAATTTAAATTTGATTATGTTATTAATGGTTGCAACAATGGTGCACCATAACGTTGCACCTAAAGCTATTGTGTCTACATATGTTAAACTGGTTGATGTTGTACCAAAAGTTATTGTGTCTATGGATGTAAAACTAGTTGATGTAGAGGTAGATTTTGGTAAACAATTTACAAATAAACAATAATTTGTTGTTCATGAGCATATCCTCCGATGGATCCGCATGGAGGTTACAAAATTAGGGTTCGACATTGTAATCGGGAGGACAAACTCTAATTGTGATAAAATATTGACATTTGTGACAATGAGATGCAAAGAAGCGACACATACACAAAACCTATCCGTAAGTTGAAACATGATGACACCGATTCGAGGAAATGCGAGTTTCATTTTAAGTTGTGATGACACCTTAAGGAAAATAATACATGGACATTTAATGTTGTTTGTGGTGTACATAATTATGATTTATATTACAAGGTAGTCGGCCATCCCATTGTATGTTGATAACACTATTTTAGTGTGTCATGATGACCAATTTTCTCTTATGATTTTAGTTAAGTTTCATTAGGATTTATTTATATTTACTTGTTTTAGTATGTTTTTACCTTAAGTGCACTAGGTGCACCCTTTATGGTTTTTCGTGTGTTTTTGTTTTAAAGAGAATCTGATAAAGGCAAGCTGAGGCATGACACCTCAAGACAGAGTCTGGAGTAAATTGAAGATTAATAGAAGGGAGATGTTGAGTTTTGTTATCTGCAAACTCACCAAGAGCTTGGAAGGATTTTTATCATTAGGGTGCACGTGGCAAAGAACTGTGTATAGAAAGAGATAGAGCATAAAGATAAGATCAAAGGAGCTTGAGAATAAAAGGTAGTACAATGGAGATCATGCCTACAAAAGCGCATCCTGCACCCAGCCACTCGCCGTCTGCTCTGCGCCACTACCTGTTGCAGCAGCTTGCCAAAGACACCTTGTCTCCAAATGCTGTTTGTACTAGATAACTTGTTCACGAAGGAAGAATGGGCAATTGGATTTTTTAGTGATTTGATATGGGATGAACTTTATTGTTATCAAAAGCCCATGATCTAAGACCCATCAACTTCTACGCTCATACTCAAAGTCTATAAAAGCATGTCTTGTCCATCAGAAAGGAGAGAGACCGGGAGCTAGAGATTACACACACTAAAATTTATTTCCAGTACTAGTTAATGTTATTTTGAGGGTTAGGAATAATTAGAGTTTTCTTTTTCTCATCCAATCCTGTATTAACTACTTGGAGTTGTCGTGACTGAAGGGATATGTTGCTGTCTATCCAACGCAGGGGATCTTCAAGTTATTACTAGGTTGACATTTCTTTTACATAATCTTGCTAAGAATATACCATCCTGTAGCTTCATTCCAGTAGTTTGTACTCAGCTGATTATGAGCTAAACTCTTATTTGATGAGCAAAGTGAAGTTAATATAAAGTTATTTTTTATGTTGAAATGATGTGTTAACTAGTGTCTTGTTTTGTTATGTGTTTTTATTCTATACACCTGTTTCTTAGAATGATCAACTTAAAAAAAGGTACAAGTGTGTTGTTGAGAGAGATCCAATAACACATGGATTTCATAACAAAAGTGGTTAATAAAGTAGGGTAGAGATATTCACTTAATTAATCTTGCTTAGAGATAAGAATCTGAGACCATAAAGATTTTCATAATTAAAACCAGACGCATTTTAGGGTTATAAGTGAGGCTTAAAGGTTTGTTCCCTTGCCCTAGTTATGCTTGCTATGATTTTATAGAGATCCTTTGCCAGCTTCAGAGCAGTGACCATGGGTCTCCATCTGATTGGCAAGCTTCTGATTATTTTTTTGACATGATCTGCTGTAGAGTAACCCTTGTCCAGAACCTTTAGGCCAGCAGTGAGAATCTAGAATCTGGAAAACATGGCTTTAATAGATTCAGATTCTTCCATTTTGAAAGCTTCATATTTCTGGATCAGCGCCAGAGCCTTGGTTTCTTTAACTTGAGAGTTCCCTTCATGAGTCATCTTCAGGGATTCAAATATATCAAAGGCAGTTTCTCTGTTGGTTATTTTCTCATACTCAGTATGAGATATAGCATTTAGCAAGATAGTTCTAGCCTTGTGGTGATTTCTGAATTCCTTCTTTTGCGCCTCAGCCATTGATTTTCTGTCAATTTTCTTGCCATTCCCATCAGTGGGATGAACATATCCATCAATAACTAAGTCCCAAAGATCAGCATCAAATCCTAGAAAGAAACTTTCTAGTCTATCTTTCCAATAATCAAATTTTTCTCCATCAAACATGGGAGGTTTTGTGCTGACTCTTTCTTCATACTTGTTGTTGCTGGATGTTGAAGTTTCAGCAGCCATAATGTATATCAACCAAGAATATCAAGAGTTTTTCCCACTGGATCTTTTCTAGTCACGGTTAAGTGATAGCAAAAATATAACCGGAGCTCTGATGCCAACTGAAGGTGAGAAAAACACTTAGAAGGGGGGTTGAATAAGAGTTTTAAGAAATATGGCAATAAAAACAACTCAAGATTTTTATCCTGGTTCGTTGAACTCAACTACTCCAGTCCACCTTATCAAAGATGATTTACCTTTCTCCACAAGGACATAATCCACTATTAATCAACTGATTACAATAGTAAGCACTAAGAATAATTGTCTTAGTCTTCTCAAGAACTACTGACCACGCCTTGGTCTTCTCAAGGAACTTCTTACAAATAAATGTAAACTAAAAAGTGTTTGATTGCTTCTAATAAGCTGTATCACAACTGTGATATTTACACTTAAGATTAAGTACAAATAAAACTATAAAGTTTTATGAAAGAAAAATGAATAAGATCTTTGTGAGATTTTCACTTTGATGAATCAAGCGTGTATGAGTATTTCTTTCTGAGTGAACTAGCAATGAGCAAGTGATGAGCAGGAAATTAGCAACTTCAAAATGTTGTAGAAGTTCTCCTTTTATAGCTTTTCCAATTTATTTTGAGTGATGTGCAGCTGAATATTATATTAGAATATAAGACTTTTCATTACCAAAAAGTATGGGCAGAGATATGCTTTCTGCAGGAAAAGTATGGTTGTAGAAGCCTTGGGATTTGCACCACGTCACTTCTTTGGACAAAGTAGCCGTTGGTTACTTTGAAAGTAGCACCACGTCCAATCAAGTTTACAGCTTCTTCAACAAGCTTCCTTCAGGATGAAGT